AGTGCTATTGTCTATATCCCCTTCTGACTCATTTTCAACAATGCTTTCTTCCTTGTCCTGTTCGATTGCATTTTCGACGTCATTATTTTGTTCCATATTGTCATGCGAATGCAACAACTTCTCTAAATCTTCTTCAGATCTTATAACTCTAATCATATCACTAGGGATTGCTGAAGTTGCAAGGCCCAATTTCATTGGACAACCAAACATTGCTTCGTAGTGGGAACATTTGATTCCCTCGTGATATGCTCTATTTTCATTGCCTGAATGAATCTTAAACCCTCTGACCACTTTGATAACTGATTGGTTTCCATCCACGTGCTCAACATATTTTCTATGTCTTGATTAGCACGCTCCGCTGATCCTTGACTTTGGCTATGTCTTGCCTTTCCATGTACGATTTTTACATCCGGCCACATGGAGCATAAACTCTCAATAACTTGGTTAGAGAATTCTCGACCATTATCGGAATGAAGGATGCTCGGCGCTCCAAAAGTGGTGAAAATATCCAAAAGATGGTATGCAACTTCTACGGTGCGTTTAGTTTGAAGCGCACAATAGATCATAATTTGGTAAGATGATCTTGGTAAACTAAAATAAATTTATAATTTTTATCTGGGATAGTTTGTAGATCTAGTAGATCAACCTGACAGCGTGAGTTCATTTCACTGTGAAGTATAGGTCTGACAACAATGCCCTTTTTCAAAGTCTCCTGTTTCTTTTGGCAAGGTTGACATAGCTTCAAATATGTCATAGTAGCCTCAACTGTTACATTTTTATACTTGTGGTTGCATTCCTTAAGCATCCGTGTCCTTCCACCGTGGCCAACAGCAACATGCGTTTCTTCGAGAATATTGAATAAGTCCTCGTAACAAATGTAATACCTTATTTCTCCATCCTCCTCCTTTATAGGTGCAATTAGTTTTTCTTCGCCGCTTATAGTCAAAATGTCGTAACGCTTTATACGCCTGTAATGAACAGCTTGTTTTTTTTTCATGTTCTTTGCAGCTTTTACTTCCTCCAAACACTTTGCATATTTGTCCCTATTAAGATAAAAGTTATCTTTCTTGCTTGCAACGAACTCGTCCATTATTTCATAAAATCTCCGTTTCATACTCATCTTGATTCATAAATAACTTTTAGACAACAAAATCTCAAACAAGATTAGAATTAACGTGCGTGTTCTAACGTGTCAAATGATGAAATGAGGCGAGCGAAGGCGGCAACGCGGTGCAGTGCGGAAAGCGGGGACTATTTTTTCAACATTTACCATGTCTCTGAGGTAAAACCTAAGATATACCGAGTAAACTCTAGTAAAACTTCGAAATTAGCGATGATCGCAGAACATTTCGGACTTTTACCACAAAGATTTGGTAAATCTTTGGTTTTACTGGAAGATCTTAGGATTTACCATAGTTCGAGCATTTACAGTAACATATGTATGTATATACCTGTATGTGTATGTATATATATATGTATGTGTGTGTGTATTTGCATGTGCATGAATACTATTTTGAAAACAATGAACAGTTTTAGTTGATGATGAAATTCCAACATGATATTGCAATTTTGTGAAGTCTCAGATGATACTTTTCAATGTTTATATTTAATTCATATTTTTTGTTTAAATTGCTTTTAAAATCTGGTTATTGATTAAATTTAATAAATTGTTTCTTTCTTCAAAAAAAAAATAATAATTTTAAGGCGTTATATTCTTAATAANTTTTTATACTTGTATCTTTCTAGTTGATTATTTCAATTGGTTTTACTCAAGCAATTAAACTTTATTCAATTAAATTACAAGCCCCATTAGGTATGTTTAATTACATTTATTTTGTTTTTAATGCTATAATTACAGTAATTAAAATAACAAAATTCTGTTCATTAATTGTACATGAAGTTTATGCTTTGAAAATGTTTTCAATGAGAAATAAACAGATTTCTATAATGTTTACAAAATTAATAGCATAATTATTTAAATTATATATATAATATATTATTTGTTTTGTTCATACTTAAGAAGCAATTTATCATGTAATTTCAGTTTGAAATTTTTATTATTATTTTGTTAATTTTTAGATTCTGGTCCAAAGATTATGAAACTTTTTATTAATCAACCATGTACATTAGATTTTGATCAAGCTGATAGTATGGAACCAGTTCAAACATTAGAGTATGTTTTTCAATGTTTATCAGAGTAATAGTAGTGATTTATGTATGTATGTATATATATTACTTAAAAATAAGTAAAGTATTATTTGAATAATTTGAAATAATCCAACACTAAGTTACAGATTAAACAGATTTATACAGTTTATAATATGAAAATGAACATTATTAAATATAGTATTCTATATAATAAATACAGAATTCTGTATTATTATTATCATGCTTTTTGTTTGTGTTGCTTGTTCTTTTGTAATGTTTTCACAATTCTTGCAGTTNTATCATTTTATTTTTATCTATGTCTAAAGAAAAATATAAATAATTTAAAGTTTTTTCAATCATATTCTTATTTTTTGTAAATGGTGGGAGCTAATTAATATTTAACCAATGTACTAATTTAATTATATATCATGTCGTGTGCAATGCATAAATTTTAACAAGAAAGCTGAGTAAGTTGAATAAATATTACATTATGAATTTGTAAATGGTGTGTTGGAAGTGAATTTAACTCAGTAATATAACAAACTATGTTGTGAATAATTTGATTTGTAAGTGATATTGTTCTATGATTTGATAAACTTCATTAATAATAAAAATTATAATACTTTAAAACATTTATGGATATTTGTTTATTAAAAAATTATTATGTTATAATTTTAACAATTTAGTTAAAAGCTATTCTTTAATATTCTTATTTAATTTTTTATTAGATTGCTGGTAGAAAAGGAGAGAGCCATTGATTCTAACTATAGCTTAAAATAACCATTTAATTAATACATTTATGTGCTTTCTGATGATTGGTAAGAATGAAGATTTGATTGACACAAGAAGTTGTCTTTGTGTAATATCAATTTATATTTTATTCTAAACTTTATATATGAAAATTAATACTCTTGTTTAAAATAATAAAAGCTAATATTGTACATTGTCAATTCCAATTTGTTATTGATTTATTAATAAATATATTATGAAAAATAAAAAGTGTGATAAAGCTTAATGTTAAAATTATTAAATAATATGAAAAAATAAACAATGTAAACTGGTGATTGAAATTTATAACATTAAAATCTTTGACAATGATATTAAAAAATATATTTGGACTCTATTGTAAATGATCTAAAATATAACATTAAGAAATGTCTTTCAATTAATGTCTTTATAAACTTTTATTGTTATCAAAAATTTTATTTGATATTTTAATGTTATTTTATTTTAATTGTAATAACATTTTATGTAACTAATATTTATCCCCTGCAAGCAGGATTTAAGAGTTTAAAATAAAAATTTCAAATTTTGCATTGAATAATCAGTTTAAAAATATAAATTTAAATGTCAGTTGAAACCAGAATATTTTAATTAATATTGATCATAATGTATTATTATTTCCTAAAGAGTAGATAGTTTCAATTCACTTTTTTATTAAATGAAACATTTTTAGTTTTGTGAGGCACCTGCAAAGTTGTAGATATGAATATGTAGATCTAGAAAAAAATTAAATATTTATTTGTAAAAATGGTGTCCCTCTTCAGCNGTGAAAGGCATGAAAGCATAATAAAACAGTTTTCAGAAAAGAATATTCTAGTGTGACCATTTTTAGGAAACAAAATAATAAATATTGTATTAGAATGTATTGTTAACTTGCCTTAGTGTTACTTTTTCATATTTAAGAAAACTAATAACAATGTTGAATGAATTTAAAGTTAAATAAATACATTTAATAAAAAAATAACTCATTCAACAGATAAATTATTTTGAGAAATGAATGAATATAATTAAATAAAGGAAAATTCATACTGCTTATTAATTAAGGAGACAAGCAGTTTGAGCTTTCTTTTTAGATAAATTATTTTGATCAGAAATTCTCATTTTTTTAAACTAATAATTTCTAACACTGGACTCCACCTCTGTCTTATAAGTTAAAACTTCTATAAAAAATCACTGAATATAGTAATTCAATTTGAATTGATTAATATATTTGTTTTCTACAAAATTATATAATTATTAAACTTATGCTAAAATCGTATAAATAATAGTTTTTAAAAATACAATTAAACGTTTAAAAAAAACAGAAGTAATAGATACTTGTAATCACTTCTGTTTCTTATTTTTATTATAAAATATGACGTTGATCAGTTTAGCTGTCTATTCATTCATAAATAAACTTAGTTGGAAAATTAAAGTAATTAATATTTTTATGTTTACTAACTTGATATTAGTAAACAAACATTAGAAATTCCTTGTTACATTTGCTGAGATAGCTACAAAAATAGTGTTATATTTATAAATGTTGGATTATTACAATTGAAGAAAACTAGATCAAGATTAGTTTATTGCATTACTGAAGTAATGCGCGATTTTGTTATCGTTGAACGGTAGTTTAGTAACTTACGCAATCTTAAAAATCAAAAGAATTATTTTCGAGTCGATACAGTTGCTCAAATTAGATATTTGTTTAGAAATTTACAACACGATAAAGAAAAAAATTATATTTCCGGGTGAATTTTTTTCTCTCTAGTTGTGTTGGTGAAATCTGAACTTTTGTCATCCCGGATAAATTATATCCAGGATACAGGACAATGCACACGTATTCTGGGAATATCCCAAATTAACTAGAACAGTTGGTCATCCTAAATTTCATAAAATCAAGTAATATATTTTAAAAAATAACAATCAGATATTCTGTAATAAATCTCTTTTTCTTAAATATCCTCCAGTTTAATTATAGGAAAGAAAGATTAAATAAATAATTTTATGTTGTGTCAGAAATAATTGTTAAATTTCTCAATTTCACTTTTAAATAACTTGACTTTCCTATTAAATATTTAATCACAGGAACCCAAGGAGAAAATCAACACGAAATACAGGAAAAAAGTGGCGATTTTGTATTAATATTAGGACATAAACCAATAAAAAGTATAATTTGTATAATTTAAAGTTTTTGGATAATTAATTTTCAGTTTTTTTCTTAACTGTTGATAGGAAATTTTCTAATATTTTTTTAAATAGGTGGCATTTATCATTTTAACACAAATATCTAATCAGAACTTTTCTCTGCACTCGTGAAAAGATTTATCCGTCGGATTTTCTAAGTAAATTTTATCATTCTTATTAACACACTTTAAATAAGAAAAACGATTTAACACGAAATGAAAAGAAAAATAATGTTCCACATGAAAAACGAACGTTTTAAACATACTATATTTTCCGAAAAATTGCAACTTATGAAAAAGTAAGATTTTCAATTTTTTAAAGTTTAATTTTATAAACGGTTAATTGAAAACATCAGCATTTAAAATGAGCTAAAGCACTATTTAATACGAAATGTCTTTGACAGATGGCATTGGAAATTAGTAGTTTCAAGACAAGTTTGAGATCTCAGCGTTGTAGACCATGCCTATAAAAAGAGTAAAGAAAGAGTGAAACCAATGGTCTATATTTCATTCCTCGCGAGATATATTTCCTACAATAATTTCTCAGAGAGCGTTGCTGGATAACCAATGTTTCAAATAAAACGAACTATGTCATTTGTTTGCTAGTCCAGCTGTATTAAAACTGCTTTACCAGGCTACGCGTCCACAATGAAACTTAGACTTAGCGTCACTATTTATTTGCTTCGGCACTATTTATTTTGCCAGCGAAGTCGAGAGGGTTAAACTGGAACTAAATCGAGTGCTGCGTTAAATTAAAGTAAAGTACAACAAGAATTCTATCACCCCAAGGCAAATGAAATGTTAAAAAGTCAAGTTGCGCAGTTAAGATCATGTCTAATTAATTAACACACTATCGCTATCTCCCAATATCTAGCATGAAAAATGCTCTGTAATAATTGCAGAACTTTTTCCAAACTTTAGTAACAAATTGGCAATTTTTATTAACGTATAGCCAAATTGTTACTGAAGAAGGTGCTGCAGAATTAGCTGATGAAAACGAAAAAATCAAAGTAAAGATATAGATTTCCAATAAGAGAAGTTTTGCGAGTACTTTGTCGTTGCATACAGTACAGATATGTTGGCCATCAAAACATTATGAATTTGAGCGTTTTATTAATGAAATATTGTCAGAAAACAACCGAAATGAAGGTCATTTGTGAAATCCATTAGCTCGGTGTTTCTCAGCCTGTAGTCTTCAGGCAGACTTAAATTAATAAAGATTAAAACTTCGTTCAATGATTATTCGCTTTTAATAATTTGCGCTACCGACCATGTTACGGGACTAGGGACATGTTATCTTACTACAAATACTTTGTAGTATATGCAAGGCTTAAAATGAACTCAGTATAAATTAACTTACTCAAATGTAAATAGAAACTTTACGTTGAAGTTTGATTATACCATTTATAATTAAATGATAAATTAGATAAAATTTTCATATCATTTACGTTTTATAAAATGTTGCCTTACTTTAAAAACATATTAATTTAATTATTAATATTTTATGTTTTTAAAATATGAACTTATAAATTAAATTACAAATGAAGATAATTTGTAATTTTAATCTCAAAAACGTTACTATGATATCAGGGTTTGTGATTTTAAATCCCACCATCCAGTTAACAATTTGAAGATTGAGTTCTCGGTGTTATTAGGTATTTAACAATAGACGTAATTTATCAAATATACGACTATTAATCTTATAAATGATATTTAACTGCGTGTACTTTATTCCGAGAATATCTGATTTTCTTTCCACTTTAATTTAATGGATATCTTTTTTTTATCCATGTTTAATCCGACTAAACGTCAGGTAAATTCATCACCGAAATTGAAAAATCGATTTTAATTCTTTTATTTGGATCAATTATATTAATAATTCACAATTATTATAAAAAATTCACAAAAAGTACATTTATGATTTGAAGTCCTTTCAGAATGATGGCGGAAGTTAAATAATCCATTTTAAAATTAATTGCTCTTTGATAGATCATGCCATCATGATCTTTAACGACAATCATAGCAAACTGAATTTTGTGTAAGAGAGACAGGATGATATCACTCTCGATTGTTTTATTGTCATGCTTAATGTTAAATACAGAAATTCAGAGTAAAGTTACAATTACAAGCAGTTACTTTTACCAAGCTGTCCCAAAGAAATTGATGGCTCCCCAATTGTTTTCCAGTTTTCAAGCGACATCTTGTTTGCGTCTTTGTATGCAGCGCGGTTATTCCTGCAGAAATTTTAGTGTAAACATGGAAACTATGGAATGTAAATTAAATCTTGATCAGTCTGAGTTAGACTTTTTTGAAAAGGAATCGAATAGTAACACTGAATTATCGAAAACTAACAGCTTTGTATTTTACGAAAAACACGTAAGTTGTGTTCTGCTTGTTTTGAGATTATTTTTATACCTTACATTAACAAAGTATTAGTCTGCAATTAGTTAATATTTATGTATGATTTCTAATTTAATGTTATTTATCTAATTAGTTCCCCCATTTTACCTCTGCATTTGCCCAAGAAACTTTAATTGTAATAATTTAAAATGTATTATACATTAGGAAGATATGCAGAAATACTATGCATTTAAAGAAACTAAATATTTGGAATTTTAGATTTCTCATTCAAGTCTCGAAAATACATAAATATTTTCTGAAAATTTCAGATTAAACAGTATATTTTTGTGATTTTCGGATTTTTATTAATATATTTAACTCAAGTGTTGTTAAATTACAAATATTTCTGGAAATATACTGTGACTATTTGATAGAACAATATAACTGATGTAAGAATGAAAATTAATATGTAAGTACAGTAAAAATATGTTATAATGAATTTTAACGTTTCCGAGAGTATTTATTATAAGAGCTTCTAAGACATAGAGATACGAAGATACATAGAAAAACATGAAAAAGTGCGGAGAATTGAATACGCAGGGATATTTAGCAACTTATTGTTGAAAAGATAAAAATAATTTTTATATAGTCAATTTTGATTTGTTTAATATTAAAGTTTAAGTTCACAAAATACATTAATACATTCTACTCAATTTTATTTCTGTATTATCTCTTTCTCCTATTAGCACTCATTTCATTTCAATTTGCTATTATTTATATTAGTTTTTTTTTTTTAAATTAATAAATAATAACAAATTGAAATGCGTGTTAAGGTCTTTTAATTTGTAAAATGAGTTTAAGACGGTATCGAAAGTCCGAAAATCTTGTAATAATAAAATGAAATTACATTTTAAATATAGAATGAAATGATCTTATTAAATTGGACTAATCATTAAGAATATACAAGTTGCAAAATTTGCATGGATATTTCTAAAAACATATTTTACTTCACCAGAATAAAATTTTATAATTTAACAATTTTTTTTTTAAACTGAACTAAATTAGATAATCTTTAACATAATGTTTTAAGATAGTTATTTCTTTACTAATCTAATTTAATTATATTCGATAACTAAGGAATAGTTAATGTAATGTTTAACATAATAATATAGTAACATGCAAAACATTATTATAATAATATTAATGATATTAAAAGTACACAGAGATTTTATTTGATTATTAAAAAATACTGTATATTGCACAAGTGACACAATAGTATGTATTATAAGTAAGATAAAACTGCAAATAAATCTTTCTACAGTGTCAAGAAGTTCCTAAAAACATTAAACTTAGTTAACGGAAAATTAGTGTACCGTATTATAATTTATAAAAATGCCATTAAACTATAAAAATAAAAGTAACTAATTATGATTAAAAATATAATTGATCTTAAAACATTTTGAAGTATTTGTTAAAAAATTTGTAATTTATAAATTCAGTTCCCAAAAGTACAAAACGTCAGAATTATTGTTATCAGTAATTAAAAAAAATGAAATTATTGTTTTATATTAAACTATATTTAAATAAATGTCGATCAACGAGTTAAAATATATATTTGTAAATAAGATTAACAATAAAAATAATTAACGCAATAATGAATATTCATTACTAGCAGATGAGCCCGACGTTGCTCGGGCAAAAAGAAATAACGATAGCGAAGATTAAGATTATTAGATTATAGCTGATCTTACCCGTTTTTACCTGGTGCATGAATTAGGTACTCCCTCTTCCGAGACTAATTAGAAAAGATTTAGATGGGTCTAAAAGTATGTTCGATTATTCTCAAAAATGCAAAAAAAAAAAGCATCTAAAATAGTACAGTAAAGCAGAGTTCTTTAAAATTATCCTTAACCCTTCTCCCTTGCTGGGGGAATTTCCAAAAATTCCTTCTTATGTGCATTTGCAAGGCGTATTAAAGTTTAAGTTCACAAAATACATTAATACATTCTACTCAATTTTATTTCTGTATTATCTCTTTCTCCTATTAGCACTCATTTCATTTCAATTTGCTATTATTTATATTAGTTTTCTTTGCAAGGCGTATGCTACTAAAACTCAGTAAAAACGCAAAAAAACCACATGTTTAAAATCATAATTGAATTTTAACTGAATAAATCTTTAGTATTCAACAAGATTTTTTATTTAATTAAATTTTAATAACCTATAAAATTTTTAAAAAATCAGAAAGTTTTTATTATAACGGAGAATTAACTTACTTGATGATAACTTTACTTGAATTATATGGTTGATTTTAAATTATAAAAAACTTGTTTGGAAGTTTATATTTCCGTGCTCCTTAATCCTCACCCCAAGGTTTCTATTAGTGACCCCAACGTAGTCCTTATCGATTCCCAACTAGTCATTTTTGTAGGGAATTGCATATACTCCTGCCTGTTCATTATCATCAATTCTTTCTTTGTCATTTCTAATCAACCTATACACTGTGGGGGCCCTTTTACATATTATACTGGCGTTTTTGTGTCTCGCTATTTGCTTCATAATCGGGAAGAGACATTTATTATTCGNCCCAACGTAGTCCTTATCGATTCCCAACTGGTCATTTTTGTAGGGAATTGCATATACTCCTGCCTGTTCATTATCATCAATTCTTTCTTTGTCATTTCTAATCAACCTATACACTGTGGGGGCCCTTTTACATATTATACTGGCGTTTTTGTGTCTCGCTATTTGCTTCATAATCGGGAAGAGACATTTATTATACGTAAACTTTGCGAAGTTAACCCCAGCCTCCGGTTTCTTCTTAGAGCTGCTCCTAGGTTTTACGTACGCTTCTATTAGACGCTCTATAGATCTTATTCCAAACCCTAACTCTTTTGCAACTTTTTTGATCCTACACAGCTCATTCATCGTGTCCATTACATTTGAGCAATAGAGAAACGCTCTTCTGATTAACGCCCTAAATGCAAATAGTTTATAAACCGTTGGGTCATTAGAATTTGCCGGAATATACATCGAATCATGCGTGGGCTTGATGTAGATCTTCGTGCATAAAGTTCTATTCTTAAATTCAATGCTAACGTCCAAGAAGTGTAGCTCCTTGTTACTAATTTGCTCCAGGTTAAGTTTTAAGCCATGTTGGTTAGAGTTCACTTGGTCTAAGAATCGTTTTATCATATCTTCCAAATAATTAGAACATCATCTACATATCTTTTGTACATGATTATGTATTCATTATAGTTGATAAGCGTCATGCGTTCTATTTTTCTCACGACAAACTCACAGAGCATGCCAGACATCGGGACTCCGTTTATATTTCCAATTCAATATTTCGAATTTTCCGAATTTGGAACGAATTCAAATACTCGTTCGAATTCGTTTATTTTGAATTTATTGTTTTGGGGTTACTCGAAAGGTGGAAATGATTTAAATATTTATTAATTGCCAAAATGTATACTCTATGTGCCACTAGTTACTTTTCTTTATAATTTACACTTTATATTGACTAAAACTAACTCTTTCTTCCTCTTCCCTCGAGGGGTGTTGGAATTTCCAAAAATCCCTTCTTAGTGTGCGTACCCTGAGTACCAAATTTCAACTTTCAACTCCTAACCATTTGGGCTCTGTGATTATTATTATTATTATTATCATAATCATCATTATCAACCCATCTCGATTATATTATAAGATAAAGTTTAAATGAATATTTCTACTATTAAAAGTTTGTTTTATATATTTGTAAGTACAGTTGTCCCTCGATAATCCAACAGGTATGGGACCAAAGGGGTGTCGGATTACCAAAAGTGTCCGGATTACCGAAAATAATTACATATTTCGCATTGTTTTGCTAGCAGTAACTTACAATATTCTCTACTCCAACTGTTCGAACAGAACTGCTCACATAAAACACACGAAATGTGTGTCATCGAGTAAGAATTGGATGGGGAGATTCACATCGCGACATGCTTCTGTGCAAGCAGACACGTAACGGGGACGGGTAC